AACTTAAAGAAGTCCAGACGCTTTTCTTTGCAAGCTCCTTTCACCCTAAATATTCACAAAGATATCAATACACAGGCTTTTGGAGATGGCCAGAATCTACTGTCAATAAAGAAGCATGAGATGGCTGTGATCGCTTACCTTCTCTTATTTTTGCTTGGTCTACCAAAACGAGCTTGAAATGAACTCCAGACACAAGCAAAGATGAGCACGTTCAGTACTGTGCATGTGTTTTAGGCTCTGAATGCAATCCAGGAAGTTTCAGACTAAATTCTAAAGTTGAATGACTTTGACTTTTATAAGGAAACTTTGCACGCAGCTCGGCTCACGTTTCTCCCTGCACAGGTTCTATTACAACGTGGAGTCCTGCGGCTCCCTGCGGCCAGAGACCATTGTCATGTCAGCGCTGGCTGTCCTGAAGAAGAAGCTGAGTGACCTCCAAACCCAGCTGAGCCACGAGATCCAGAACGACGTACTGATCATCAACTAAAGGACCTTCCTCCACACCAGCTTGAATGGCTTTGCTGTGTCCTCCCTGCAGGCTGGCAGGATCACTGAGATCTGATCCATTAAAATGTGGGTCGTGTTTTCTGGTCATAATAAATTAATTGAGTCTCAGTCACTAGAAATGTAAAATTCAATGAGTTTGCGAGATCATTGTTTCATTTTTAGTTTGAGCCAAATGCATATTGATCTTTTTTGCTGTCAGTGTAACACTTTAAACTGTTATTTTTCCTTAAATGTTCCTTTTTTAAATAAATATTTTCTAAAGGAAATTATCTTTTTTCATGAAGTGTCCTTATTTCATTTTTTCTGGGCTCGTGATAACTAACCTGCATCTGCAGCCTGTGAATAAATATGTGGTTTTAATACCAGATTTAGCTGTTTTAAAAACTATATATTTTAATCAAGGTTAAATGTAATTAATTAGGTCTAAAGAGTCGGAATATATAAGTGAAGGTGTACAGTTCTTTGGGTGCTGATTGGATGAAGGGAAAAACAACTTTTTTTCATATAAATTGCATCAATTATTTCCTCATCAGTAATGATCGAAATGAGCAGTTTCAGTATTAACAGTTACACATTTAGTTATCTGACTTAAAACGTAGTAATGTTTGGTTGGCAGGAGTTTTCTTCAAGTCATTTGGGAGAAAACTTATTTGGGAACCCTGCTTTCTATTTCCCTGCTTTTTATTTTACACCTTTAAACTTAGATCAGTTCAAGGCTTTATTCCCAGACAAATCTTTGATTTTTATGCACAAAGTTAATCGTTTGTTTACAATCCCTTTATGGTACAAAAGAAATGAATGTTTTAAAGCGTAACAATTTCTGTAAACATTGTTTTATGTAAAATGTTTGTCTTATGAATCTATTAATACTTTAAATCTGCTGTTGTGACATTTACTGTGTGCAAAATATGAATTGGATACTGGAGGAACAATA